CCCCCCCCCCCCCCCCCAATATCTCAACCTTCATCATGTACGCACATATGAAATCATGCATGCACAAAGAATGGAGATGGCACTCACAGCATGCAGCTTGTTTTAGTGCCAACATTTGCTATTTCTGGTATTTTTTATTCATAAGACCATGTTTACCAGCTTAACCTACTTAATTATCTTTCGGTCCCTTCTGTTTGAGATTAGCATCAAGATGATTGTTCTCATTTGAGATAGAAATTGGCAAATGGGAAACAAATAGAGAGTGCTTCTTATATCATGACCCCTCTCCACCACAATTAACCCTCTGTCCTCATAAATGTCAATTATGATACAAGGTTGGCATTTTAATCTATAGGAGATAGCAGGTTAGGATACTGCTATATAATATATCAAAATGGACTCCTATCTGGCATGAGTCTTAACATTTTTATATATTTGCTCACAGAAACCCCCCAGTCAAAGCCTAAGCTAGTTAAAAATACAAGCTCAAAACAGCACATTAGCTTCATTTATGTATCAATGGCTGTCTAGCAATGGCTAAGTTGAATTTGTCCATCTCTCCTAACAAGTCGCTTTCGAATATTGGTGAGATCTGTGAAAAGACTCAATATCCAAGACCTTCAAAATACCACAACCTCAATCGATTCACAGTGGGGTGAAAAATTATATTTTATAACCCTTTTCTTACTTTCTGTATGTTGCTTTTTAATAAAAACAGAAACCTTTGAATAATTCATATTTAATTCCACTATCCACAAACATTACTTCAGTTTTGATACCATTCTCAGCAGAAAACAATTTTATTTTACAGCATTTTCCCCAGAACTAAATTCAATATATTGCTTGGTAGATCTGAGATTCACACTTACTGTGCCCATCATTCCATATCCTGCCAAGGAAATAGAAACCTTTCAGTCTTCCGTTATTCACAGTTGTTATTATTAATCATTATCATCTGTCATAAGCATCGAGCCAGAGAATATGAAAAGAGATTGATACTTTCTATGCCGCACTGTGTGATCTGATCAACTTCTCTCCAATACCAAATATCCTCCCACATAATGTAATAATCAAGCTGCACCTTTATCACGGATATCACATTTATGAAGTTTTTCTCATAGTCTTATATTTACACGCACAAAAAACATGCGCGCACCTACACCTTAAGCCTACTGGTAACTAATCCTCCACAATAACTGCTCAAAGATGCATAAATGTTTAGTTTGTGACATTGTGTGTTCGATCTTGCCAAAGACATACCCCCCCCCCCCACACACACACACACCTGTGCCTCAAGCCTAAAACCGAACAAAAATTGCTAAAAGATACTCAGCTCTTTGTCAATTGACAGTGTGTGCTTCTATACTAGTCATTTTCTTAATGCTCTGTAACAGGAGAAACATTTCAATAATGTGATAGAGTTCTAATCCCTCTGTATCATGAGCAAATCATGAAGTCTGATATATCTAAGGTGTAAACTTAGAAAGAGGGCTGGGCTGGCAATGAATAATATAGCCAGGGTATGGTCTGTTCTGAACATTGGTCAAAAGACATTAAAAAACCGTCAAGAATACGCCTACCACTGTCATCGCTCTTGTGCAATAGAAGTTAGAACTTTGCTAATATATGAAATTGTTCATTACTGTACAATACTGTATCCACAGTTGTATGTGTAGAGGTGCATGCTGGCAAGTGTGTGAGAATCAGATAGATTGAGCCCAATAATTGGTACAGAATTCTAAGGCAAAATTTAAGTCTGCTTTCACCAATGATGAATCAAAAGTGCATCTTAAATTAGAAACTGTGCCAGTTTTAACATAAGAGACATCGCTAAAGTTTCATATCAATACTCAGTTTAACCAAAATGTACCAACTCATGGCTTAACTTGAGTTCAAGTGAACCAATTTTGTTTTCTTTTAAGAAACTGACCCTCTTACACTTTCTAATTCCTACACAAATCAACAACCAACTATAGTACTCCAACACAGCATCTAAATAAAAATCAAATCACAAATTAACAGGCAAACATTCAATTTTCCCAATTTTCAACGGATCTATGACGTGACCCCAAAAGTAAAACAACCAAAATATTACACAGCAGGGGCAATATGGCATAGTGATCATATCTGGGGCATAAAAAGAGATGGGAGATAAGACCAACGGGTTAAATTTTCTGATGAATGCAATCTGTACCTGACATCTATGGCCTTATTCTAATAGGAGTAATTAGTTAATATATATAATATAAAAGCTTTTTTGTCTCTTGGGTAAAGGTATATGCACAGCATGCATTAGATGACAGCACCTAGGATTATTGTTATTCAATAACTATTATTGAAGACATCTTAAGTCTTCCATAATATATACATTCAAGCACTGGTACAGGAGGGGGGGGGGGGGGGGGG